GAAATGTCAGAGAAGGAGTTCAGAAGGTTCATAATTAAAATGATCTGTGAATTAAAGAATGTGCTAAAAGAGCAAATACAGGCAAAAATTGATCACTCCAACAAAGAGATAAGAAAGCAAATACAGGCAGCAAAAGATTACTTCAGGAGAGAGATAGAGACTCTGAAAAAAAAAAAAAGACAGTCATAAATCCTCGAAATGAAAGATACAATAAACCAAATAAAAAACTCAATAGAAAGCATAATCAACAAACTAGATCACTTGCAAGAAAGAATTTCAGATAATGAAGACAAAGTTGATCACATAGTGAAGATAGTAAGAAACCATGAACAGAACATCCACAAATTATGGGACAGCATCAAAAGACCAAATCTAAGAGTTATTGGGATAGGGAAAGGCACAAAGTTTCAAACCAAAGGAATGCACAATCTCTTCAATGAGATAATATCAGAAAATTTCCCAAGCATAAAGAATGAATTGGAAAACCAAATACAAGAGGCTTACAGGACACCAAATGTACAAAATTATAACAAATATATACCAAGGCACATTATAATGAAAATGCCTAGCATATAGAATAAGGATAGAATCTTAAAAGCCACAAGAGAGAAGAATCAGATTAAATAAGGGGAGACCAATTTGTATCTCAGCAGATTTTTCAACCCAGACCCTCAAAGCCAGGAAATCATGGAACAACATATATCAAGTTCTGAAAGAAAATGGATGCCAACCAAGAATCTTATATCCAGCAAAACTAAGCTTTAGATTCGATGATAAAATAAAAACCTTCCATGATAAACAAAAGTTAAGAGAATTTACAACTAGAAAGCCTGCACTACAAAACATCCTCAGCAAAATATTCCACAAAGAGGAAATTAAAAACAATGATAAAAATCAGCAGAGGGAGGTATTACACTAAAGGAAAACCTAATCAGAGTAGAAACCAAATCACGTTAAATACCAAAATTAAACAAAAATGGCTGGGAATACAAATCATGTCTCAATACTAACCCTGAATGTTAAAGGCCTAAACTCAGCAGTCAAAAGACATAGACTAGAAGATTGGATTTAAAAAAAAAAAAGATCCAACAATATGCTGCCTTCAAGAGACTCATCTTATAGGAAAAGACATCCACAGACTGAAGGTGAAGGGTTGGGAAAAATCATACCACTCACATAGACTGTGGAAGCAAGCAGGGGTTTCTATCCTTATATCAAATAAAGTAGACTTCAAGCTAGAGTCAATCAAAAAGGATAAAGATGGACACTACATACTGCTCAAGGGAACCATACACCAACAAGACTTCACAATTATAAATATATATGCCCCAAACAATGGAGCGTCTATGTTCACCAAACAAACTCTTCTCAAGCTCAAGAGTCAAATAGACCACAACACAATAATTTTAGGGAACTTTAACACACCTCTTTCAGCACTAGATAGATCTTTCAAATAAAAGCTGAACAAAGAGAATATAGAACTCAATAATACAATCAATAACTTAGACTTTAACTGACATATATAGAATATTTCATCCTTCAACAAGAGAATACACTTTCTTCTCAGCAGCACATGGATCCTTCTCTAAAATAGACCATATATTATGCCACAAAGTAACTCTTAGCAAATATAAAAAAAAGAGATACTACCCTGAATTCTATCAGATCATTATGGAATGAAATTAAAAATCAATGATAAAATAAGAAATAAAAGCTACTCCAACACCTGGAGACTAAATATGCTACTGAATGAACAGAAGACATCAAGGAGGAGATTAAAAAATTTTAGAGGTGAATGAGAACACATATTGAAAACAACATATTGAACAACATATTGAAATCTCTGGGACACTATGAAAGCAATTCTAAGAGAAAAGTTCATTGTATAGAATTCGTTCCTTAAAAGAAGAAACAGTCAACAAATAAATGAGTTAACATTACATCTCAAAGCCCTAGAAAAAGAACAAATCAACACAAAAGCAGTAGAAGACAAGAAATAATTAAAATAAGAGCTCAAATCAATGAAACTGAAACAAAAGAAACAACTGAAAAAACTGACAGAACAAAAAGTTGGTTCTTTGAAAAAAATAAAATTGACAGACCCTTAGCCATGATAACAAAGAGAAGGAGAGAGAGAACTCAAATTACTAACATACATAATGAAAAAGGAACTATCACAACAGACACTACAGAAATAAGAAAATAATTAGAAATTATTTTGAAAACTGTACTACAATAAAGTAGAAAATATCAAAGGCATAGAATAACAAATTTCTAGAGTCATACAATTTGCCCAAATTGAATCAAGATGATATACACAATTTAAACAGCTCAATTTCAAGTGACAAAATAGGAGACACTATCAGAAGTCTACCAACCAAAAAAAAAAAAAGCCCAGGACCAGATGGATACACAGCCAAGTTATACAAGACCTTTAAAGAAGACCAATTTGTATCTCAGCAGATACCCATACTCCTCAATTTATTTCTGAAAATAGAAAAAGAAGGAGCACTTCCAAGCTCATTCTATGAGGCCAATATCACCCTGATTTCAAAACCAGGCAAAGATACATCAAAAAAAGAAAACTTCCATCCAATATCTCTAATGAACATAGATGTAAAAATTCTCAATAAAATTCTGGAAAATCGAATATAAAAATATATCAAAAAGATCGTGCACCATGATCAAGTGGGATTCATCCCAGGAATGCAAGGTTAGTTCAACATTACAGAAATCAATAAAATAATTCATCACATCAATAGACTCAAAGATAAGAATCATATGATCATCTCAACAGTCACAGAAACAGCATTTGACAAAATACAGAATCCCTTTATGTTCAAGACACTAGAAAAAACAGGGATAACAGGAACCTATCTCAACATCATAAAAATTATCTATGCTAAGCTCCAGGCCAACCTCATTCTAAATGGAGAAAAATTGAAAGCATTCCCTCTAAAAACTGGAACAAGACAGGATGCCCTCTTTCATCATTTCTGTTTAACATAGTTCTTGAAACACTGGCCAGAGCAATTAGATGAAAGAAATTAAAGAAAAACACATAGGAAAAGAAGAAGTCAAACTGGCACTATTTGCTGATGATATGATTCTATACCTAGAAAACCCTAAACGTTCCACCAGAAAACTTCTAGAACTAGTAAATGAATACAGCAAAGTAGCAGGATATTAAACTAACACCCATAAATCAAAGGCATTTCTGTATATCAGTGACAAATCCTCAGAAAGGGAAACCAGGAAAACTATCCCATTTACAATAGCCTCAAAGTAAAATAAAATAAAATACTTGAGAATCAACTTAACAAAAGAGGTGAAAGATCTATATAATGAAAATTACAGAACTCTAAAGAAAGAAATCAAAAAGGCCTTAGAAGATGGAAAGATCTACCTTACTCTTGGATAGGCAGAATTAATATTATCAAAATGGCCACACTACCAAAAGCACTATACAAATTTAATGCAATTCTGATCAAAATCCCAATGACATTCCTCATAGAAATAGAAAAAGCAATCATGAAATTCATCTGGAAAAATAAGAGACCCAGAATAGCTAAAGCAATCCTTAGCAGGAAGAGTGAAGCAGGTGGCATCACTATACCAGACCTTAAACTATACTACCAAGCAATAATAACAAAAACAGCATGGTATTGGCACCAAAAAAGACTTGTAGACCAATGGTACAGAATAGAGGACACAGAGACTAATCCACAAAACTACAATTATCTTATATTAGACGAAGGCACCAAAAACATTCACTGGAGAAAAGATAGCTTCTTCAACAAACGGTGCTGGAAAAACTGGAAATCCATGGGCAACAAAATGAAATTAAACCCCTATCTCTCACCATGCACAAAATTCAACTCAAAGTGGATCAGGAACCTAGGAATTAAACCAGAGACTCTGCATCTAATAGAAGAAAAAGTAGGCCCTAATCTCCATCATGTGGGGTTAGGCCCCAACTTCCTTTGGAGCAAGATAAGACTTAATAATAAGACTCCTTTGGTGCAAGAATTAAAATAAAAAATCAATAAATGGGATGAACTCAAACTAAAAAGTTTCTTCTCAGCAAAAGAAACAATCTGTGAGGTGAATAGAGAGCCTACATCTTGGGAGCAAATCTTTACCCCTCACACGTCAGAGAAAGCACTAATCTCTAGGGTATATAAAGAAATCAAAAAGCTAAGCACCAAAAAAATCAAATAACCCAATCAACAAATGGGTCATGGAACTGAACAGACACTTCTCAGAAGAGGATCTACAATCAATCAACAAATATATGAAAAAATGCTCATAATCACTAGCAATTAGATAAATGCAAATCGAAACTACTCTAAGATAATTTTGTTAATTTTTAAAAAAGAACAGAAATTCAGTGAATTAGACAAAGAGAAATGAAGGAAAGGGAGGTGGAATAGGAATAGGACAGTGGAATGAATCTGACATAATATTCCTATGTTCATATATGAATACACCACAGAGAATATACCATCATGTACATCCATAAGACTGTGGTCCTAATTAGAAAAAGATATATTCCATGCTTGTATAATTATATCAAAATAGATTCTATTGTTATGTATAACTAAGAATAACCAATAAAAATACGAAGTAAAAGGGAGTTATGGTATTATAGAACTTCAGAAGTCTTATAATCTGGTAATCCCCAAACACGCTGATATCTCTGAATCACGTGGGGAATATCTAAAAAGTATTGATTTCTAAGCTTGCTTTCTGGATATTCTGACTCAGTGGGTCTTGATGAAGCCCAGGGCCCTTTATTTCTTAAGAAGCCTTAAGATCACTTTGAAACTTAGACATGGTTTTGGAACCTGGTCTAGCCCTCTTATTTCTATAATTTGTGTAAAATTTATGTGCCAGTTGTAAGGCCCAGGGGCCTCAGACCTGGAACCCAGATGCAAGGTCTCCTAACCACAGCTCATGCCACTGTGGAAAGACATTCTCCATACACACACATTACTCACTCCTCATCAGCCCCAGCCATCAGTATATCTTCTTTGTCAGTTTTAACATCCAATTCTGGTTCTCCACTAAGCAGCAGCTTCAAGTTATAAATAACCAGCAAAGTACCTAGTAAAAAAAAAAAAAAAAAAGGAGATGTTTGACTTGCCAGTATTTTAAACATACTAAATGCTAGGTATTGTGCTACCATCTCATCCTTGGAATAATTAAATACACTATAACCAAGCTTCCTTTTGCACTTTGATAAATAATATATTTGACTATGTTCCAAAATTCATATCTTATAGCAAACTCTACTCTCTGCCAAAGAATGTTGAATTGCTACAATATGGTGTTTCTTATTACTAATTCAATTCATTGTAAGTCTTTCAAACTTTAGCACTCATCATAATTTGCATTATGAAAAGTGTTAGGAAGTTGAGCCAAGTTTGTATTATAAGTGAAGCTCTCATTGGTGAGCTTGAAATCAATGCATAAGAGAACAAAGGCGAGTTTTTTAATTTGTACAAAGTGTTGCTTTTAGACTCTATTGCTGGTATTGGCAAACTTTTTCTGCAAAGAGACAGACAGTAAATATTTTAGGCTTTACAGGCCATATGGTCTCTGTCACATCTACTCATAACTCCTACTCTGCCACTGTAGCATGAAAGCAGCCACAGAGAAGACATAACTGAATGAGTGTAGTTGTATTCTATTTATTTAGAGAAACAGGTATGTCACCACAGTTTGCTGACCCCTGCTCTAAGTAACCTTTTATATCAAAGAAGTCCAAATCATTTACAAAGTTGGATCCCTGACAAACCGAGCTGTTGGAAAAATTTTAAAAGAAAGATAATTATACTTTTTGTTGGTAGAAATAAAAAGACTGTGGTGGCTAAGAATGTGGACTTTGAAGCTTAACTGCCTGTGTCTAAATACTGAGTCAGCCATTTACTAGTACAGTAATCTCAGGTAAATTTTTTATTATCTCTAAATGTAATTTTTCGATACAATGGAGATCACGAGGGACCTACCACATATAGTTGTTCTGAGAATAAAATAACTTAATTTTTAGAAAGCACTTGGGAAAGTATTCAAAAAGAAACTCTTCATTAATGTTTGTATTTCACAATTGGAAGTGAATCACTGTTCTTAAAATATATTGTGTATATATTAATAAAAAGAATACCAACTTAATTGCCATTATTTTTCCGCTGAGACAAAGAGAAGTGACTTAAAACATCATTTTTAAACAAAATGCCACAGAATGGAGGAGAAATTTTTGAGGTAAAGCAAATCAAGTCTGAAATAATTTTAATAAAATTTCACCACAAACAATATATAAATTGAAGAGCTTCACAGTTTTCCTTAAAGCAAGGTATGAGAAATATGGGAATCTGGAGAAAGACTGGCACTGGAAACATCAGCAAAGATGGTACATTCTACATGTTGAGCAGAAAGTTGGGAGAGATGGAGAGAATGAGGGAAAATCTGAAAATCCTGAAAAAGAATATCAACAAAGCTCTTGCTATCTCTACCACAGAAGCATAGATTCATTGTTTTATAAATTTGTAAGTCTTATCAGCCTTGTAACTCATAATCTCAGATGTAATAAGCATCTCGGCTACATGGTGCAAATAACAAATAACTCTGCTGCATGATACAAGCACTGGGTCATGGTCTGCATCATCCTCTTCTCCTTCAGTTTCACAAAGCTCCACAAGCACAATGAACCTTCCTCTTTGTGCCAAGGATTTACAGCAACTCCTGTTTCAATTCTCTTAAAACAAAATTCATATGGTTAAAATGAATGGCTGCCCCCATGTGAGAATTCACATGATATTATTAACATAAAAACATATGTAAAGTGACTTTCATAAGACACCAAAACAAAAACTTCCATCAAATTTCAGAATTCTGATGATCTTACCACATTTTCCATAGATCACATCAAATTGCTGCATTAATTCAGCTTCATTTTTGAATGGGGAGTATTTATAAATTATAGACAATTCTGTTGAGAATTTTTGTGGATCATCTGTGACAGATTCTCTGGTTCTTGTCAGCCATGAAGGCATTGGAACTACAACCTGTTTAAAAACAAACAAAAAAACAAACACACACACACACATTGATTTATTATTATTATTTTTAAGAGAGAGAGAGAGAGAATTTTTTAATATTTATTTTCCAGTTTTTGGTGGACACAACATCTTTATTTTATTTTATTTTTTAATGTGGTGCTGAGGACTGAACCCAGTGCCCTGCACATGCCAGGCGAGCGCGCTACCCCTTGAGCCACATCCCCAGCCCACATTGATTTATTATTAAATTCACAAGACCCACCATCTTTTTGTCTGATCCTAGTTTATTTACTATTCAAACAAATCATAAAATACAAAGTTAAAAGTTTATTTTCCTCCCATATTTTAGTTTTATAAAGAAGAGACAGATAACAAATTTGTATACTTGTGGAATGTGCGGACAGATGGAGGCCAACTCCATGCCCTTTTGAAAGATGGATGGAATGGCAGAGGAAACAATAGTATCAGCACTTTAGAAATGGAAAAGCAGATGACAGCATACCAAGAAATACAATCCACAGCCCTTGCCAGAAAAGAGAAGAGTCAGCCTGATTTACAATTCAGATTGATGGCATGAAAGCCAGAAGTCTAGATCCCCATCTGGCAACAGTTCCTCCAAACCCCAGAGCCCCTGGATGCTCACTCTCTGAAGACTGGAACAATGTGTTTATGGATGAGAAGACACAGAGTTGTTAGGGGAAGCCTATTGAGATTTAAGGGACTGAGTCAAAGTGTACATGCTGGATGCCAAAAACCTCAGCATCTTGTCTCATCTGCCCCCAGAAGGCTGGCAGCTAAGCCTCCAGGCAGAAGACTGCAAGAGTCTTCTCTTAGAAATCGGACCAGCTCAGAAGGAAAGACCTAAAGAAAATGACATCAAGAATCCCCCAATAAAACAACCTGTTTAGATCATATCATTGAAACTCCCACGCCCAGCTCAATCAGCATTTTGTTGGACTACTTTTTTAAATGTTTAGGAATAACAGCCATCTAAGAAAAGCCTCTAATATGATAAACAGAAACCAGGTCAACAAATAAAAACTAAGCATCTCAGTGGAAATAGAAACCATAAGAGGAGGACGACAATTTTGATTAAAAAAAAAAAACATTATTAAAATCTTCAGTGCTATAAGAAAAATACTGTATCCATGAAATAAGAACCAGGTATCTTTGGAAAAAAGATTATTGAGAGAATAAAAAAAGACCTTTTAGAAATTAAAAATATAATTATAAAAGAAATTTATGAAAGAATTGGAAAATAAATGTTTAAAAATCTCCCAGAAAACAAAACTATGAAAGACAGAAAATAGAAGAGAAAAATAAGAAAATCAAAGAACCACTTATAGAAGTCCAAGAGCTAAAAACAGTGGCAAAAGGAGAGTAAAGAAAATATGGATGAAAGAAAATCATCAGTGTTGCAGGGCACAGCGGCACACAACTATAATCACAACTACTTGGGAGACTGAGGCAAAAGGATCATAAGTTCAAGTCCAGCCTGGGCAACTTAACAAGACCCTGTCTCAAATTAAAAATTTAAAATGTCTGGGGATGTAATTTAGTGATAGAGCACTCCTGGCCTCAGTCCTGAAAGAGGGAGAGAGGGGGAGGGAAATGGGTGAGAAAGATATAAAAAGGAAGGGAGGGAGGGAGGAAAGGAGGGAGGGAGGGAGAGAAGAAGGAAGAGAAATTCATCAGTGTTACAGAAGTTTACCCCAGAATTGCAAGGATATGATTTCCAGATTGAAAAGATTCTGTATGTGCCCAGGACAATGGATATAAATAGATCAGACAGGTAAAATTCTGAATTCAGAACACTGGGGACAAAGTTGCTTTTGACCTTCAAAAAGTAGAGATTAAGGAATAAAATTCAATGGCTTCAGTTTTCTCAGTAAATTTTGAAGGAACAGTGGTACACGCCTGTAACCCAGCATCTCAAGAGGCTGATGCAGGAGGAGCATGAGTTCAAAGCCAGTAACTTAGTGAGGCCCTAAGCAACTCAGTGAGAGTCTGTCTCAAAATAAAAAATAAAAATGAGCTGGCGACGTGGCTCAGTGGTTAAGCGCCCCAGGGTTCAATCACTGGTACTAAATGAAAAGGTATAAAGATAAAATCTTGAAGGAAAATGAATTTCAGCTCAAAGATGATAACAACCCAAACTATAACTGAGTGTTGGGGAAGAATAACAGCATTCTAATGTGTGGTGGTCTAAGAAGATCTTGCTTCGCATCCCAAGATAAAATGACAGACTATGTTACACAAGTTGTGAAAGAAGACATGAGATTTAGGATCTGGGATCTGACAGAGAAGAGATCTGACACCCAGGACCACTGAAAGGGCAGATCCTAGGATGCCTGCTGACCTCCGGCCATGGAGAGCCGGAGTGGGAGCTGCAGCACATGACAGGGCTCTGAACAGAGTGCATCAGGAAGGTGGAGCTGAGGAGAGCAAGCTAGACCAGGATTAACCATGCCAGTGTAACAGAGAAACAGGGCAGTTTTCAGCGACAGTGGTGAGTGTCCAGAAAAGAAAGCAGTCAGTCATTCTAGAGAAATAAAAAGTTGTACACATGAGGAAAAACAGAACAGTTTATGACATGAGCTCCTGTGAACAGTGTATACACAGTCTAAAATGGACACACTGAGCACTGGCATAACCAAAGTTAGGAGGGCGCTAGTGAGGTGGAGGGCTGGAAGTCCAGGGGTGACAGGAGCACAGAAGAGAAGGTAGATAGGTTTAAATCCCCTTCATAGTAGGAGGTTAGTGGAGAACACCTAAATAAATTCAAGTGCAAGCATGCTCCTTAGAGACACACAGGTAAATCTCAACGAAATCATTTAATACGGTTGGAAGAAGTTGCTTCTGTGGATGCGAAAGTGGTGAGTGTTTTTAAGAGTTATTTTTATGAAAAATTGTGCTCTATATGTGTAATAAGGATTGTAATGCATTCCACTGTTGTCATGTATTTAAAAAAAATAAAATCAATTAAAAAATGAAAAATAAACAAATAAATAAATAGGGAAATGCCCCATTTGGGGAGCTATGACCTCAGCTTTAGCCCAAACCCCAGGCTCTTCACAGGTACAAGGTTCAACATAACCACTGACAGCACCTCTTTTCCTGCTGTCAGGCTCCCTTCAGCCACCCCTTACAGCCCCTCACCCTAAGACAGGCTCACACCTCCACCTGGCTTTCCAGTGCATCTACAAGCCCAAGACTGGCTGTGGGCCATTTTTTTCCAGACACCAGCCTGTCCAGCTTCGAGCCATGCTCTCTCCATAGAACACTCACTGACCACTCAAAGCTCTCTCATCCTCCCTCTTTATTACAGTTTTGGACAATTTCCATAACAACACTCACACGCACTATTTCAACAACGTTGTTTTTATATAGCCTCGTTTGTCATTTGTCCAATCACGTGTCTACCTTATTTCCCAACAAGACTGAAAGCTTTTTGATGGTCACTTGGTCTTTAGCTAGTTTTCTGCCCATCACAGTCTGTCCGGTGCTGAGCACACAGCCGCTCCCCAGCACCCATTTGTTGTACTGAATCATAACTGACATTAATAAAATGTTTCTGGGTCAGCAAATGCTAAGTTAAAAGTATGGTCACAAGAATTATGGTTTTAAGTCTATTTTGCATTCAATTTTTTTTTTTTACATTTTGTTTTCTAAGTCTTTGCCCCTAATATTTTATTTATTTTAAAAGCAATAATACATTTATGCCACAAACAGTAGAAAGATTTTGCAGGCTTCTTCTAGAAAGCTCCTTATATGCAAGGAAGCCTCTATTTTTGGAGATCTGGACATAAGGAGAATGAAAATAAAGTTCTTAAGAAAGACTTCCAGGGGCTAGAGATGCTGCTCAGAAGTAGAGCACTTGCCTAGCATGTGTGAGACTGTGACCTGGAATCTCAGCAATGGCTTCCAGTGACCCCCCAAGAGTGCACAGGCACCTTCAGTCATAACAGACTTCACCTCCTGAGAGGATAAATGAAAACAGCATTATTGCCATGGGAATGGAAGGAAATCCTCAAATCTTACCTCACTAAGACCTTCTCCTTCACAAAATGTCTGAGAGAAAAACACACAGGTCATCGTTTCTTCCTTCTTCGTAAAAAGAATAAAGTCTTTTCCAATTCTCATGGACCCACTGTATCAAAGATAAATAACATAATGATTTATATCTCAAACACTAAACCAAGAAGAAACAAGTGGGCATGGGTTTGTTCTTTTTAGCAACTGGTCTTACTGACCCATCACCAAGAGAGCACAAGTATTATTTCTCAAAACAGAGACAATGAATTTGAATGGATGCAGCCCCAACTCATGTTTGAGACATGGCTACTGGGATAATGTTCCATCCAAGGTTCAAAGATCAACCCAGAAGCAGGAACCACTCAGGTAAGCACCATGTCCTCACCTCTCACTGAAGCAAACTAAGAAAAAGCTGACACACAACACATTGGCTAAAATGAATGTTGAGAAATAATAGAACATAAAACTCCAAAGTTACTGCTTCAGGAAGTGCCTGCAAGAAGACTCATCTTAATATATGTGAGAATTAGTTTTTTAAATGCTTTAAAGATCCTAGTCAGTTATGGGTTGGAGATTCCAAAACAAGACTCCCTCCCAGGACTTATGCTCTTTTTAAAAAGCTGTACAGGTTTGCAACATTCTGTGTTTCCAGTATGAATAACACATGCTCTAAGGGGGGAAATTCTCACCTTTTAAGACCATTGCCATATTGTCCAATGAACTTCAAGGTTGATAACCGTTTCTTGGATGTGCCAAAGTAAATGATGTCTGAAGCTTCCTCTGTAATTGACAAAAGACTATCTTTTAAGGTGCTTAGGAAGAGACTTCGACACTAGCCTAAGGCCCAGTTGTCAGGACCCCACACGGACCACAGGACTTTGGGACAAGTCCACAGCTCTTGGGCAGCCCAAAGACGAAGATTCATGTCAGGACCCATAATCTCTGAGAAGGATCTTTTTTTTTTTTTTTTCAGTTTTCAAAGCCCAAGTTTAATTTGACAAAGCAAGTCTGTTTCTAGATATGAATCCCATGAAAATTCTCACACAGGTAAAGAGATGGATAGCTGTATGAGATTGTTCACTGTCTTATTAGTCATAATAATAAAAATGTGAAAATAATCTTGAACATTGATCCTCAAATATCTATAGTGATTGAACTGAAGAATTTCCATGGATGCTATAGTGCTATGAAAATATCAGAATTACAATAACAATATACTGGAATGGAAAAAGTTTGGTTTGGGTTTCTGGGATTAATTTATGTTAATTTTTATATAAGCCTCTTTTAAATTGATGTATCTACTGTAAATCGTGTACTTCAGGATCTTAAAGCAGTTATAATGAAGGAGGTCAGATAGACCATACCCTGTGACCTCACCAGGTAGGGGTAGAGTTTAAAAAACTCTGAGCCTTGATTTCCTTGTTTTTAAAAGAGAACTGCTGGGGATGGGGTTGTGGCTCAATGGTAGAACGCTTGCCTAGCATGTGTGAGATACTGGGTTCGATTCTTGGCACCACACACAAATAAATAAAATAAAGGTCCATCAATAGCTAAAAAATATTTTTTTAAAAGCGATAGAAATGCTAGCACTTCTATCACAGTTATTGATGAAGATGAAGAAAACACTTAAATAAGACGACGTATCTGTGAAACTCTGGGCACACAACTTGGCACTTGATAAGCGTTAAGAGATTATAAGTGTTATAATTATTTGTACTACTAATAATTTCGTCATAAATTTGGCCCTTATCCAGGCCCAGGTGAGACTAGGGACAGAATGGCTTCTGCTTCGACACCACCTAGGTAGGGGAAAATGGCTAACCATCTCAGACCTTTAGAGTCATTCTCCTGATCTCTCCCAGAAGTTCCTAAGTTCTAGAGAGGAATCTTCTGGATTTCAGAATACTCTGATCTCTAGAACCAAGAATATTCTTGTTAGCCTACCTGGATACATGTTTTAGAATTGTCTTGAGGACCCTGTGTCAGGTACAGACATGTTTACAGTTCAGGGGCAATTGGTAGGTGGTGTGTGCTGGACATTTGATCCTATGTTCTCATACAGGGATGAGCCTTATGAGGAAGGAATCCATGATAACAATGTTAGCCACTTATTGATTGATTGTTTGTTATTGATTGATTGACATTCATTGTTCCTATTTAATATTTATAATAAATCTACAAGGAAGATATTATGATTTGCATTGTGTCATTGTAGGAGAAAGAAATGGAAATACATAGAAAATAAGATAATTTTTGAGAGGATTAAGTGAAGGTAACAAAACAGGAAAATGTGTTAAAGATTTAACAGGGGTATGGTCTTCAGGGGTAAGGCCACTTTCAGAAGGTTAACATCTGGGGAGAGATTCAAATGATGAGGGTCCAACCAGGAATGGCTGGAGTGTAATCAGAGCTTGGAAATGAGCAGAACTAGAAAAGGCCAGGAAGGTGGGCAGAGCCAAATAAGCAAGATCTCAGAAGTTAATCTGGAGAGTGTTACTGAATTTTATTCTTATGCAATGGAAAAATCACTGATTCAACAGGATAAATATATAATATTTAAAGAAAGGTTGAGGGCTGAGGTTGTGGCTCAGCGGTACAGCACAAGCCTAGCATGTACAAGGCCCTGGGTTCAATCCTCAGCACCACATAAAAATAAATAAATAAAAAGGTATAAAAAAAAATAAGAAAGGTTGATGTATAGGGAACAGACCATGATGGGAAACACAGGAGGAAAATAAGAAACCAAAATTTGAAAATTTCTGTAGTCATCTTCTATGGGTCAAGCTCTGTTTGAACAACTGGTAAGTTCTATATTCAGTCACCTAAGATAAACTCTTCCTTTAAACTTAATACTTGATTTCCAATATTCATTAAGAAGTGCTTTCTCAATAATACTCTGCTTGTCCTACTACATGAATATGCTCCTCAATTTCCAATGAGGTTAAATCCATCCCTGCTAAATCCATAATAAATTGAAAGTATAAAAAGTAGAAAATTCATTTAATACTCCTAACACTATCAATATCTCAGCTACACAGTACATGTTGGACCGTGCTACTTTCCCCTTACAATCATGAGGCTGACTTGGGGCTCAGGCTACCTACCATAGACCAGCATCACAAAAGAGTACTCTAGTACAACCTAACAGTTGTACTCTGCTAATCTAAGAAAAGACACAAATTCAAAGTACAGTTCCTACTAAATGCATATCCCTGCAGTACCATGGTAAAGTCAAAAAATGGCCCTAAGACAGGGACCATCTGTATGTTTACTGAGGTATGAGTTCCTTCTGAAGGTCTGAAAATTTGTTTGTGCTTTAATGATTTCTTCATGACCCATATTTTAAAACTGCTTCTTTTTGTAAGGCATTCCTTTAGACCACTTCACATATATTCTGTCATTTATTTTAAGAATTCAGGAAAACACACTTAGCATTCGGGCTAGTAGTGAAAAATAAGACATTTTCAGCATGGTTTTCTTACAGCCTCTTTATCTTCTCTTATTTAAACACTGGGGAATCAATAATACTTTAACCAAAATGAACTGAGATGATCAAAATTATTCCAACAAAGTCAGAACAAGAAATGGGTGGGATAGTTGAGCATTTTCTAAGCTTGCTAATAAATATTCTTTGACTATTCAGACCAAGGGGAGACTTCAGATTTGGAAGAAGGTAATTGCTCTACTTTGTATTCTCAGCTTATATCAGCATTGATTATCACCCTTTCCTCAGATGTGCAGCCAACCAGGACATTTCCATAATATATCTCAACTCTCTCAGCATTTTTTAAGCATAGTAGCCAAGACTGTAGCTTGTGATACACAAAGTATTATAAGAATTCAGGAATATGAATACTAAAACTATGCAAAGCTTTTATTAGAGGGAATAACTTTTCAACAACACAGCATTTGAACACACCTACTATGTGCTGGCTTTGTGGTAGCTTTAAATATCTAAGGATAAGTCATGCAATATATTGTAGATATCTTTGTTATGATGAGAAAATTTATCTGAAACAACTAAACCTTTGAACATTCAGAGGAAAAAAAAATCCATGCAAACTACTAAAGACAAGGAGAAGTGACCTTTTCTTCAGGGTTACAGGGAAAATTTAAAATAGCCTAAAGGCACTGGAAACAGCCTTGGGGTTCTTGTAAACAATAGCTAAAAGAATGGACTAAAACAATCTTAAAGCCCATTCAGATACTAGAGGTAAGATGCTTTGTCTTGCAATCAGTACCATTTGTCTTTCATTTTTCTGACAAAATTTATTTACTTTCACTTTTTTATCTTGATTTCGATGATTGTAATGAATTTACTCTGCCAGCTGGAATATTTAAACCTGAAAACTTTGACAATAAGTCTGGGCTTTATTTTCCCTAATAGCTCCATACCTGTTTTTCAATAGAGAGCTCAATTTATTTTTATTTATTTTATGGGTTTTCAGGCTGTTCCCTTTAACAGCCAGTTAGGTGTCTAGATAATTAACTTACCAGGGCTCATGCCACATCCATCATCCAGGAAGCATAACATGAATCCACCCTGCAGTTTTTCATTATCCACTGTAAGAGAAAGCAGTTATTACTAATAAATATTGGGCTTAATTTGTTCGTCAGAAAGTCATGCTGCTCGCATAATTATTCGTCCTTCTCAATTGCAGCCACAGAATGACAGAGTTATGGCACAATGACGAAGCTCAGAATGGAGTCCTGGCTACAGCTTCATAAGAAACTGCAGGGGAAGAACAACCATGCAACAAAGGCTTTACATTAACATAAAACATCTACATGTTAAGGAATTATGTGTGCAGCAGGACATGCCCTGCTCTGGAATTGGACCAATCCCTTCAACTTCAGGTATTTCTTCCCGAGGGGAAGGAAAAAGGGAGATGGCAATGTGACCCCAGGATCCCTCTGTCAAACTGATCGACCTTTATGCCCTTCCACCAAAGCACTGATTCTAAAATAAATCTAGGACATTCTTATTAAATTCATCAGGCTCCCTTCTAAGTAGTTAATTCCCAAAAGAGTCTTTTGTGAGTGTTTCTTTGTGGCAGCAAATATTTGCCTCTTGAAAATGCATTTGGGTTTTTGAAAATGGCTAAGTTATCTGAAATCAGTTTTGATAATTAAAAGACACCATTAAATTACATAATATAATCTCTGGCTTTAAAAATGTTAAAGAGGGAACTAAAACTAATGAGAATAATTTCAGTGCACAGTTTGTAAACTGACTCTGAAGATAATTTCAAACAGCTGGATATATGAGTTCAAGAACATTCCTTTTTTGATAACTGTTATTAAGAAATAATTTTTGCCAATAAACTGTGTATGTTTAAAGTACATAATTTGATAAATTTTGACAAATCAGTAACCCATCATCACAATCAAGGCAATGAACATAGTCATCACCCCAAATGTTTCCTCCTCGCCCTCAGTACTCCCTCTGTTCTGTTCTTCTGCTTTCATGGCCCCTCACTCTTGTCTCACGCCTAGGCAATCCATAATCTGCTTTGTCTCCATGGAGTACTTTCTAATACATTTAAGCAAATCTTTCTGTTCAAAGGTTAACTAGAATTCATTCACTCACGTTTAAAAATTAAATCATGTTTAAAATAGCCTATGAATAAAGACCTAAAAGACATATCTAAGTGTGTTAGCCCATTTTCTGTTGCTATTGCAAAATACTTGAGGCTGGATAATTTATGAAGAAAAGAGGTTTATCTCACAATTCTGGAGGTTTGAGACCTCCATGGACTTCAGCTCTGGTGATGGGTTCATGGTAAATGGTGTCACATTGGCAAAAGGCATGTGGGAGCACATGCTAGAGTGATCACATGGAAAAACAGGAAGCCAGAGACCTAGGGGTCAGACTCAATTTTATTTATTTATTTATTTATTTATTTATTTAAAAAGATATATACATATATTAGTTTAGATGGACACAATACCTTTATTTTATTTATTTATTTTTATGTTGCTGAGGATCAAACCCAGTGCCTCACACGTGCTAGGCAAGCACTCTACCACTGAGCTACAACCCAAGCCCCTCAGTCTTTTATAACAACCCACTTATGTGAGAATTCACTTGCTCTATGAGCCCAGCATTAGTCCCTCCCAAGGGCAGTGGTTCGAAGGACCTAACTATCTCCCAGTAGACCCCACCTCTCTGATTTGACCACTTTCTCTATCCCCAGTACTCTGCTTTGGTTTAGGAAGACATCATTTTTTTTTCTGGATTATGAAAACTGTTCCCTAACTTCTATCCCTAAATCAAAGGGTGCAGCCTGTTTGCAGTCATTTGTGCATTTTGCCACTCTCCTGCCAACACCTTCTATGGCTTCCTGTTGCTCTCAGGATAAACACAAACCACTTAGCAAATGCTTGCCCCTTATGATCTGGCCCTCTCACCTCTCCAGGCCCATCTCCTGTCATTCCTGACCAGCCAATGCTGCCACCCTCCTGTTGCACACAAACACTTCCCTCGAACTAATCCTGAACATCGCAGGTTTTCACAGTTCTCCTAAGAGTCAAGGCGTCACAGGCACTGCCCCCATCTTTCCCATGCCTTCTTCACAGGTGGACGTCTACTGTCCCTGTGGACTGGTTCATAGAAGACTTCTCCTAGGAAGATTTCTTTTGTGCGCGCGTGTGTGTGTGGTGCTAGGGATAGAACCCAGGGCTTTGCACATGCCAGGCAAGCACTCTGCCAACTGAGTTATATCCCCAACCCCTAGAAAGGTTTCTTAATCTTGCAATGTCACTGTGTGCCCAGAATGAATGTTCTCTTCCTAACTTGTGTTTTCCCACTTTCATAGGTGTTTACTTCTCTTCCAGATCAATGGTTCCTTTAGTTTCGAGGATCACAGTTACCCCAGAGATAGACAAAATCTATGCATCCTCCACCCATGTAGATATATAATACATTTTTCCATGGACCCCTGCACAGGGATGTCAACTTCTTAAAAGTGAGCACTGTGTATACTCAGTACTTAGCTTAGTGCCTGGCACTTGGTGAGCACTGAAAAAAAATCTATTCAATGCATATCCATCTTTACTAGAATTGATGTACAGAGGCATTTAAACACCACAGTGAAACATATTTAGTTTGAATTTTATAGACCTCAAATTACTTGAAGGAAACCAACTGGGGAGTAATTCAAGGCCTCGGTAAATCATTTGAAAATTAGTCCAATCTTAGATTAACTATGCATGCCCAGAACAATTCTATTTATGAGTATTAAGCACTGGCCCTCGCTTTAAAAAAATCAATTTTACTAGGTTGAAAGTGATATGAATGATGGTTTTCTGCAATAAAAAATGTTACAATATGAATAGGTAATTTAAAACTGAAAATGATAAATTCGGTTTTTCACAAAATACGTATAACCTAAAGAAAGAACGAGTACCACCTCCATTTTTAATCAGCCTAGATCCTATTTTGTTTGCATATGATAATACTGAGCACTCAGGAAAGTGCAGTGAAATCAGCACTCCCATCCCCTCCTGGAGTCCTGTCACACACCCAGAGTGTAGCATGTGCATTCTAATGAAATTTGTAGTACTTTGTGATTCTGGATGTCTTCTTGGCCCTTGCCAATACTGCACATTCTCTGAATGAAGTGTCGCTTACATTCGTCTCTATTCTCAAATTTCCAGGACCCTTGCCCTAATTCAAATTTTCATGAAATCTTGCTTAATTTTCATAGCCACACTCCCTGTGATCCCTGCTTTCATATTTCCTCAGAATACTTTTTATGCTATTACTGGAGTATCTTTCTTTAAAAAGAGAAAAAGAGGACATGTCTACTTAGGGTAATGACACTGTGCAGAATATTCAAGACACTCATCCAATTGCCTCTGACCCTTAGCTCTAGCCAAGGAGCCTAGTCACTCTTTCCTGAATGCTTTTTCTCCACTTATCTCCATGCCTCACTCCCACATCACGCAGGTCTTCAATGGTATTTCACCTATTAAGGGAACCGCCCCCTGTGTAAAACTATAATCTTCCCATCACTCTCTATTGTCCAAATCTGCTCTTGTTATTTCCCTTTTAATACTTCTTATTGCTGGAATATGATTTATTTGTTCATTTCTTTATTGTCCATCTCTCCCCCAATAGAATGCCTGTTCCATGAGAGCACAGAACATTTTGCTCAATACTCTATCCCCAGCACCTACAGTAACAGACACTCAATAAATTGTCATTGAATAAATGAATAAATCCCTCAACTACTCTACCTCCATTCTTTTTCTCAAAATAATTCTTCAGACAAGAATATTTTTCTAGATTATTTGAGAAAAATCACCTCCATATTTCAAGCTCTAGATCCATAATATGAACTTAATGTCTTCTTTCTGTTTCCACCATACTCTGATTCTTTTCCAGATAGGAGATATTTATATTACTCTATACACAGAAGTTCCCTAACTTATGATGGTTTCTAACTTAAAACTTTTTTGACTCTATGATACAAACAAAGTAGAAATTATACTTTAAACTTTAAATTTTTATCTTTTCTTGGGCTAGCAATGATCCTGGAATATTATATCCCAATACTGGGTAGCAGCAGGAAGCCACAGTCTCTAGTCAGCCACACAATTTCAGGATTAAAACAAATCAATACTCTACAGAATCCTGTGTGACTAAGCTTTGGTGTTCAGTAGCTTGGATGTATTAAATGCATTTTTAACTCATGGTATTTTCAACTTACAGTGGGTTTCCACTGGAAGTCAAAGAGCATCTGTAACTGAATATGAAAGGGAAGGCTAGTTTTCCTCCATGAAGGAGCCCCACTCTTTCTTTGACTCATTTTCCCCCTGTCAATATAGGCTCCCTCCTTTTATTGGTCCCTGAGGGAAGAACCCCTGGTGAGGCTCAATTCAAACCCCTTTTCCTCTTGGGAGAGAGTTGCCTACAGACAGCCTGAAGTCTGCTCCCTTCATCTTAGAGTGGACCAGTCTGGGGTGGAAGCTGATTCCACAGCTGTGAGCAGCCCCATCCTGGGACCTTCACTCTGTCATGAAAGCTAGACTCCAACCTAACATCTATCAGCGATAGAGGATGATTCTTGCATTTATTTCTCAAACTTTTCAGGACTTGGAGAGTAGAAGGAGGAAAAGAGTGTCATTTATTGTTTCCTCAGATACCTCAAGACATCCACATCTATCTCCTTCATGAACCATGGCACTCATCTGGCTCAGAATCCTAAATGCACAGAAAAGCGAACAGAACTGAGTTGCTTTTTCAGTGTCGACATGGATTAACATCATGGACAATATCCTCTCACTTGTGATCAATTACCAATATAACAGAGCAGCTGACAGAATCAGGGTAGAGAAGCGGTGTTAGCATTAGGGGCAATTTTCTGGGTGGCACTGAGTATATACAGGGCAGGATCGCAGAACCTACTGTCACTGGCATCATATTAAATGAGATTAACTAATAAGTGCAATAAAAACTTGGAACTACAAAATGAAGTCAATGAAGAAAACATTTGGTTTGAATTTTGCAGCACTAAAATATTCATACTGCACATTCACTTGTGCATTTTAAAACTATGATAAGTTGAAAATAATGTTTGCTTAATTATGAATAACCATTAAGTTAATCTGCTTTTTATAAGAAAACTGTTTCTCACAGCAAACAAATCTACAGCTCCAAACCACTCTGGTTCTTTCACAAAACTCTGGAAGGCCTAATTTTGTAAATGGGTCTTCTAATAAAAGAGCAATTTGACTCTTAGGGTGTACTTTTCCCGACCTGGCTCCCCATAGGGTTCCTACGTTCACAAAGCACTTAGATTACATTAAAATCTATAGAATGTGACTTGATTCCATGAAATAAAATACATGCAAAATAGCTACAAGCATTTCCCTTAGAAAAAGAAGGAAAAAGAAGAAAGGAAGTCTACTCACCTGAAAACACATCAAGTCTTGCAGCCCCTGAATCTCTGAAAACAATATAAAAATATCACAGCTTCAATTGAAATTATGTTTAAAAAATTACATTAATCTAACTTGCTTATGTGAGGTATAACCTACTGTCAGATATCAAACAATACAAAAAGCCACTTAAATTGCTTCAAAATCAATTACTATAATGTTTCACTGTGCATTTATATACTAACAACTATCATCACTGATGATTTGAGAATATTACAAAAGCTAAAACTCAGAAATTTTTAAAAAGAGATGGAATCTAGTGGTAGTTACACAAAAAGCTCATTAGAATGAACATGAATTTTGTATTTTTAAAAACCTGGCCAAAGAATGATCCAGAAGTCATAGAATGATTTTCATGATATGTTTCATAGGTATGAGAAAAAGGAGGTATAGCTAATGAGGAAGAAAGTATGGAAGGGAAGGATGATAGATCCTTTTAGAAAGGGAAGCTCGGTAAGATAATGAGTGCAACTCTGATGGGGAAACTGGAGTCTTTTCCCAAATTTCCTTTAGTCCCAAGCTAAAACTATCCCAAACAAATTTGAGTAGTAACACTGTATTTGCCCTATGACCCTAGAAGTTAGTTCTTTATAATTCGTTCCTCTAGTCAATTGATGCTTCTAAGTCCTCCTTACACAGAAGTTCTAGAGCTACCACTGCCATTTCTAGAGCATTTCATGTATCAACTAAACACTAAATGAAGTCTTTTTGAAAATTCTCTTCTAATCCTTACCACAATCCCATGACATGTATGTATCAATGTCTCTATTATGCAATTATGCTTTGTACAAAGTACCACATTGTATAGTATGTGCTCAGTAAATGCCAATATACTGAAAAGAAAGTTTATAAAGAAATAGTTTCTTTTTACAGTTGAGGCATAACATAAGGACTCACCTTTTTATCATATTAAGACACTTTATAATGACCTTTGTGTTTCAGCCCTAGATACTTGCTTTTTGAATAGCTGAGGTATTAGGAGGAGGACCCTAATCATCCATTCCTATACCATCACATTTTTTCTCCTCTCTCTGCAATATTTTTTAATATCTTTCAGTTATAATTTTCACAACTACAGGGTATCACCAAAATTTTGAATACAATAATATTTGAAAATTCTTAAAATAACACATAAGACCAACTGAGCATCTTGAATAAGTCTGCAAAATAGTTTCATTTGCTGTCAAATACTAGCATCTAAGCAGTGGCAGAGAACTGAGGTATCCATGGAAGACAGAAGAACTGAGAGGTTCAAGCTGTTGGGGTAACACTGGTCATGAGACATACCTGAAGGCATAGGCTGGTCCCACCAAAGCCCCAGCTACCCCTCCAGCCCTGATCCCAGAGGAGTGTACTCTCAAGGATGCTTCTCCTTCTCATCTTTCAGGAAAAATAGGGGACCCGATTTTGTATGTGGTGCCTCTTGTGTCTTAAACCTTACAATTACCTTTTCTCTTCCTTTTGTTTCTGAACACTGTGTAAACTTTCACTATGAGACAAACAAACATGAGACAAGCTAGACCTGGTCAAGGGGCTGCCAGTTTACAAATGCTGCTCTAAGAATTGCTTTATTGATCACATTTCTCTCCTTCCTTCAAGTCCAAAGTTAATCTTTCTTCCCCAGTCACCCAATCACCCTCAATCATGTAAAGTGTTCCCGTTGTTCTACGTCTGCTACGTGCTGATTTCCTGTGCCTTGTAGAATGAATGAATGAACGAAACAACTTCAGAGGAGAAAAGACAGATGGCGCTATGGACAAATGTGCTCTTTGAGAACAAGTTGCTGAAAAGGAGCACTTTTCAGCAACTTGTTCTCAAAGGAAAGGTAGGAAAGCCTTGCTTCAGAAACAACAGCAGCCAATCTTATCTCCCACAAAGAAACTAACCATGAGTGTTCATCTGCCCAGGCCCTTTCCCTGTGAGCTCCTTCTAATTTGCTTGGGTTCATGACTCCCTGACCAATCAACTTTATGCTTTTTCTCCTTTTTCCCTCCCTTTTTGTGATTGCATTATCCCTACAGAGTGTTTCATAAAAGGAGGAACTAGTAATTTTTTACCTAGCAATGGGCACAGTGCTGGGTAGAAATTCGTGGATGGCTGGTTAACTGACCACACCATGTCAGAAAGGTCATTTCTTTGAAGGTCAAAAATGGAAGATAAACACGAAAAGCTAACATATGCTATAAACCAGTGGCAGGAAATTTAAGTCCCCCTACTGGGATCTCTGATCTAACAACGGCACATTATTTTCTAGAAAGACTTTGCTTTTTGCAGAGAAGGGACAAAAAAAATCTGTGCAACAGTGAAGTACAAGTATAAAAACCATCAAAGGCCGTATTCAGTTTAGCTAGAAAACTGAGTCCCTCCCAATTCTCCACACATATATTATTGAGTGGAACTAAAATGATTATAAAGAGGTTCTTTAAACCTCCATTCCTTTGTCAGAGACAGTGAAATAGGGTACTGGGGTTCTGTAGCCAAATGGTACAAATCTGAACTCTATCTCTGCCAAAGAGTAATTATAGAACTTTGAATTAATCATCTAACTTCTCTATGCACAGATTTTCACATATGTAAAACCAGGGTAATGATTTCCCCCTCAGGGTGATGTCATAGGATGAATGAGTGAACACTGCACATGTCACTCACATAGGTGGAGGAGAACAGTTAGCTGTTTTCTGACTAACCACACAATTCACCTCAAGGCAGACTTCAATAAAGGCTCAAACCCAAATGTCATTTCTCAAGACAAAGTGTACACTGATCTGTAACTGAAGAAACATCCAAATGTCTGCTATTACATGGCTATCAACACTAATGCAGAAGTCCAGTTTGCCTTCATTTCAAGTTTAATCATAAAGGCAAATTAAACAAAGGTGACTAATTCCTTCTTTCATCTGTTCTTTTTCCCATAGTACTTTGATTATGCTGGAAATTGTTATGGTTGTTTATGTGAAGTGTCCCCCAAAAGTTCACGTGTGAGACAATGCAAGAAGGTTCAGAGGAGAAATGATTGGGTTGTGAGAGTCTTAATCCAATCAGTGAATTAATCCCTTGATAGGGATTAACTGAGTGATAACTGAAGGCAGATGGGGTGTGGTTGGAGGAAGTGGTTCATTGGAGGCATGGCTATGGGGTATACATTTTATATTTGGAGAGTGGAATCTCTGTGCTTTCTGATCATCATGTGAGTCTTCTGCCATGATATCCTTCCTCACCTTGATCTATGAGTAGTGGAGCCTGCTGCTATGGATTGACCTCTGAAATTGCGAGCCTCTAAATAAACCTTTACTCCTCTACTATTGTTCTGGTGGGGTTCCTCAGTCACAGCAGCAAAAAAAAAAAGCTGACTAAAACAGAAATCGAGCAAAACATTCTAAATGGGGGGAAATGACAGTATATCTTTATTTTCAAAGATAACTGGACTAGATTTATGTCATGGAATTCCAACAACAGCCTTTGTTCACAGGTAAACCTACCTGGCATTGTCCAGCAATTCAGCCAGAGCTCCAAAAAGGAAACTGTGGGTTGTGCTGATGAGAAGAGAGAAAGGGAAAACAGGAAGTTAAATCAGGGCAAATGCTTTAAGACACTCAACACACAAATGTTCCCCAGTTCTAGACAATCAATGTTGAATTTTTTCCAGAAATAGTGTGTTTAGCATGGCCAAGATTCTGAAGGACATACTATATTATAAAGCCAAGGCAAGAACTCATTTGCAAAATATCTTGTTTACTTCTAATATAATGAAGACTATTGAGGATCTTACTGTTGCAGGAACAAACTTTCATGTTTTAAACTTTCTTTACAATTACATATTCAAGTACTATTTCTAAAGAAGTTTCATTGAAATTGTATTACTTAATACCAAATAAATAATGAGCAATATTGATCAAGACCTTAATCTACTAAAAAGCCACAGGGTTCCATTGGTTGGCTAAGAAATTGGCAGGAGGCTGCTGTTCACCCTACCAATCTCCATATCTCTGTAGAAGCTTTCCACCTATGAAAAGCCTACTCTTTAAATGACCTTATGGATTATCTTTAGTCCCTTGCTCCTGTACCCTCAGTACCAGTTGCTTGGTGAAAGAACATGGTAAACAGCCTGCACTACTCATGACACTTGGAAGGCTAAAGGGATATCTGTGGGTGAACAGGTTGCTTTCAGCGGTTCCAAGTTTGCTTTTCCTTTTCCGATGTGGCTATTTCAATTAGCAACCTTATCATGGCATCAAGGGAAAATTCAAAATTCAATATTTGCACTTTCCTTTTTATGTTTAGTAAGCAGGTTGCAAAAGCAAGAAACCCATTTACCATTTGTATAAGAAAAAGCATCAACTGCAATGTCTAAATCTCTCCAGACACACCTCAGGACATGAGACAATACCTTAACTTAAAATTTATTTTAAAAATTACATTTCTCTCTCTCTCTCTCTCTCTTTGTGTGTGTGTGTGTGTGTGTGTGTACATGCATGTGTCTTCATTTGGGGGGATTTTAAACTTTAAACATAGATACTAATGAAAGGTCACTTGAGTATGGTCAGCTTTAAAGTTTATAAAAAAATCTAGAAATTACTAAATAATGCTTTTGTTTAAAAAGATGTTCTTCTCTCTCTCTCTCTCTCTCACACACACACACACACACACACACACAACTGGTATAAAAATCTTATACTCTATAAAAGAGAATATAAGTGACATGTTTTATAAAATCAGAACTTTAAGCCACAGCCCTTCTGGTGAATTTAAAATTTGTATACTGATGATTCAGTACACAACAATTCGATATATACATATCCTTTGTGAAAGTCATTGTAATAACTATGACCAAAAATGCCATATGAGTTTATTAGTTCATTCAAGAGTTTTTGTAACTACCCACCTTGTAACCATTTGTACAGGTAGAGTCTTTGCTATCTTGGAGATCAAGGTGGTGGGGTATGTGAAAAACACACAAATAAATGCACAATGATGACCTCACAGGTGGTGGTTAAATACTTTCTTCACATCAATAATGGGACAGAGTAATTGCTGGGGGAGGGCAGGGTGCCCAGGGAAACCTCTCTTGATAGAAGACATTTAAACTGATCTTTGAAGGATGAGAACCTGGTCTCTTGCAGGGACAGAGTGAAAACCTTCCAGCAAGAACAGGAGATGCAAAGATGCAAGGCCCTGGTAGCATGTGCAAGGCCCTAGGTTCAATCCTCAGCACCACATAAAAATAAATAAATAAAATAAAGGTATTGCATCCAACTACAAGTAAAAAATAAATTTAAAAAAGAAAGAAAGAAAAAGGTTGTGTGGAGGGTGGTCTAGAAGACATGGTGGTGGATTCCCCTAAGGTCAATGGCAGTGGAGTCAAAGAGAAATGGATGAATGTAAGACACATTTAGAGAAAGCATACCCTTGATGGGCTGAATGCCCAGTGAAGCAAAGCAGATATTTTTAAAAATACTTCTCTTTTATGCATGGAAGTCTCAAACCAACATTTATCTGAACAGCTAAGAAGATGTCAATTTGTACCTGATTTTTTGTTGCTTCATGCAGCTGTCTTTTTTAAAAGGTATTATTTTTAATATTAATATTTACCAACTGAAAAGGGGCTGGAGAGGCCCATGGTCCATGCCTGCAATTCCAGCAACTCGGGAGGCTGAGGCAGAAGGATCACAAGTTGAAGGCCAGCCTAGGCAGTTTAGCAAGACCATGTCTCAAAGTTCAAAAATATATATATAAAGGGCTGGGACATAGCTCAGTGGCAGGACTATGTCTCCTGTGTTCAATACCCAGTATCTCAAAAAAAAAAAAAAAAAAAAAAAAAAAAAAAAGGGGGGGGAGAGAGGCTGGAGAAGTGGTTATCACCGAGTGGTTCAGGGGAGAGGGAAGCTGGAAAGTAATAGCTGCAGAAATGATACAAAATGGAGTCTGAGTAACTTTCCCAAAATAAAGTTCACAGTCATTCCAGTACTGGACTTATGGTTTTTCTTAAAATCACTCAGAACTGCTATTTCTTCATTTTTCTTCTCCTCCAGCCACCTTTTAAGTATTTATTCCACCATCACCAGCTAGAAGTCATTCTCCAAAGAGATATAAAAACTAAATATTACTGGATATTGCTTGATTTAATCTATTATCTTAAAATTGCACAGTTTGTCCCACATAACAAGGCTGGCATTCCCTGGCCTTCTTTATTCCTCCATTTCTGTGGTTTCTACTTTGATACATCCATTCTATCAGCTGCTACTTTTAGTAAACACAAAGATTCCCAAACACTGACATACCACTGTGAATTACACAGCACTCATCACTATACTTTGCAGTACTAGAACCGACAAATGACATGGAATATTCCGTCACCTGCCTCTACAATCTGAGCACAGCAGTTTCCCCTTATCCAGGGTTTCACTTTCTGTGGTTTTAGTTTTTACTGGTCAATCTCCATCCAAAATTATTCAATGGAAAGTTCCAGAAATAAACAGTTAATGATTTAAATTGTGTACCATTCTGAACAGCATGATGAAACACTGAGTGGGTCCCCCCTTTATTACAGTATGTTGCTTAAATTGTTCTATTTTATCATTAGTGATTGTTCATCTCTTTTTGTACCTAATTTGTAAATCTATCACGGTTCAATATGATTCCCAATTTCAGGCATCCACTAGGGGGCCTTGGGACAGCATTCCCATGAACACTGTATTCCAAATAACACCTGGCGAGGAGCCCAAAAAGGCATCTGGGCCTGGAAAGAGCAGAAAAAGTACCAGAATAACAAATGAAAAGTGAGATTCCTATCTTCAGAGAGGTTTCTGGAAACCTCAGGAGACCAAAGAGGTTGAAATCAATGAATGCAAATTACTGCATTTGAAAGGTCACTTGAATCTTTCAATCGTGGTGGGGGTCAGACTGGAGCAGGCAGAATTGGTAGAATTAAGCGACCCGCTGACCAATAATTAAATAGTTTCATTCAAAGATAAGTGTGAAGCCTTTCTACCACTTGGTGTTAATTGAAGAATATCAACATCTTTATCACTTGCTCAATGTTTTTAGAAACACATATACAACATAAATAAAGAAATCCATAAATCAACCACACCAAGTTCTTTTGGTTTTTCAATCAGGTATTTGATTCCGACGGGGACAAAACTTTTCTCCATTGCGTGGAGACCCTACCCCTCTCCGACCCCAGCTAGGCACTCACGAGTTAGCATGGATGAAATCCAGATGGAGTTGGGCCCGACGCAACGCAGCATACTTGTGGCTCATGTCCTCGAACGCGACCCGCGCAACCCGAGGGGACAGCGACGCCGAACCGCAGCTGCTCGCCAAGCCCTTGCCCACGCCCACGCCCACGCGTGGATCTGCGGATGGGCAAACACCAGCGCCCCCTGTGGCCGCGGCGCAAAGCTCACCCTGCGCAGTGGATTCAGGTATCTGGTCAGGTTCTTAGTTTCTTGGTCTTGAGTCCTTCGTTTGGAAAATAAGGCATCAGAGTTAGGTCCCTTCTCAGGAATTGAGATTTCTATAACCTTCCCAGACTATTGTTCTTCTTGCTGTCCCTTTCAGTCATTCTCTGGTTGGAAATTGTGGGATTAAAATTTGATCAGAAATTACACACACACACACACACACACACACACACACACGAACGTAGAGAATCTGCTTTGTGTTGCAGAGAACTAAAATTTTGTGAGTTCCTGTTGGAGAAATAGGCAGTTTCTCTTTGCTTGTGCAGTCTGCTTACCCTACTGTGCCTTTTGAGTTTAATCATGCTTCTGCCATTTGGAAGAAAGAAAAGGAAAAAAAGAGATAAACCCGAAAGAAAAGCTGAAGACAATGAGAACAAAATTTGGACTTAGCTGCAATGTAGAGGCTTGCCTGTCCCTCTATGAGAACAGCTGTTCCCATCTGCATGGGTCACTAAATCTTCACCTGTTGGTTGACATTCAGCTATTTGATGCGTTGACTTGGCTCAAGGACTAGACATTCAGTAATGTTCCAGAAGACATAACTGGACAGGTGCAAGGTGGAGAGAGGCCTCTTTCCACCTTGTAGCTGTCCACATTTTTTTTTAACTCTACTCTGAGTCACCAAAATCCAAGCTGAAATAGAATTTGTCAAAGATGCTAAAGGGAATGTTCCTATTTGGGATGGGAAAATAGTTGATCTAGCCAACCTCTAAAAAGAGGTCAAACTCTGATTTAATGTCTGTAACTATTTGATTGGGAAATTTAAATAGCTTAATAATATTCAGCAAAAATTTTACATGGTAGTCTTAAAGTCAGAAAGAAGCATCTATTTTACAGGAACTTGAACTAGATGTGTTTGTGATTTCGGGCATCATACAGGCAAGAAAGCTCTCAGAAAAGAAAAAAAATGTTAAATTTGGAGGAGTCATTCTACTTCAAAAGAGAGAAATTTATCAGCTACTGCATTTATAGAAATCAGGAGAGGAAGAGAGAATTTGAATGGCAACCCAAAGGAACATGATGTTCTACTTTAATTTGAAGACTGGAAGTAAACATAAACATTTCAAGTAATTTTCCTGATTGCATTTTTGTTTTTAACAGTGGCTGCTATGGTGGTGTTTTGATAGCAAAATTCTCTTTACTAAGCAACTTAAGCTATCTTTCCAATTTTTTTCCATGGAACTTCACAAATATGATATTTTATTTTCATTTTATGGGCAAGAAAAGCTTGACAAGCTTCTTCTGGATTTATTTTATAACCCCAATTTCCAGCTGCTATCTCAAAGCAATTTGCTTCTGGGAGGGCACCAGAGCCACCAGCCTGTAATTAGTAGAGGTTGTAATATCTAATTTCTACCAAAGGGAAGGATGTGATTATAACAGAAGCACTCCTTCTAATAATCTGAACAGAGCCTTTCAACCGCATGTGGCCAGCCCCAAAGCACTAGGCAGTACGGGTTGGCCTGGTTGACAGACACAGAGGAGAATCCACTAGATTATGCTAAAAAAGAGGCTGGAGAGTCACTGCACAAATCCACCAAAAGCCTTTTTCCCTTCCCTATTTCAGCTCTGTTCAGCCATTCTCCCATCAAAAAAGACAAACTCACTCCTCTTCAAGATGTGCTTTTGGGATTTCTAGTTTGACTCACCTCCCTCAAGATTCATTTCAACATTATTTCATGACAAAAATACTACATTAGTGACAGGGAGGGAAAATTAAAATGAGAAGACCCTTTGATCATCATATGATTGATCCTGATTCTAAGGAGAGTCATTTTGGGCTAAGAGACTCTTCAGTTCTTCCTAACTAAACATTTCAGATTTGCAACACACACATTCTAGTCATAAATAATGGCTTAAACTTTTCAAACTATGCTTTCCCTTTTATTGACATAAGTATGAACCAACATTTCATTACTCTTAATGAATATTTAAATTGAGATAAAGTTTATAAATATAAAAATTTAGTGTTTGAATTTACCAACTATCTGCACTGGTATGCCATATACCTAGCACTATAATTAGTTATCTTAGCATATTGTAATAAACACAGAAAGTGAATGCTATTAAATTGTTGATGTTTGAAAGAGACCAATGATGCTCAATTGAGAAGAGTAAAATGTCTCTGAAAGCAACATATGACCTTCCTGCTCATTTAATTGCATTCAGGCAAGACTGAGTCTGGGTAATATGTTTTCCTCTCTTCTAATTTACTCCATGTAGCACATTGGTGAGGTTTTCATTACACCCAGGTATGCGGCAGAGTGATAAGTACCTCTGGAGACTTGGAAAATATGAGGCATAGAGCTTTCCAAAAGAATGCCAAAAGTACTAAGTGATTTTGAAAATATGGTTGCCTTCCAGTCAAATAATCCAACAGTCATTCCCAACTGTTTTCTCTCCTTCACAAAGGAAAACTTGCTGAAAACTTATATTCCTGGACTTTTGTAGTAAGGGATGGCTACTGGGCTATCATAAATGAAATAGAAGCAAAAGTCATTTACTAAGTGGCTTGTAGGAAGGCCTTTGCTCTCCTGATAAAGACACACACAGGGCTGGCTCCGTCTCCCTTCTTTCTATCTTGAAAACAAGCACAATACCTGGATCTTTGGTTGTTATTTGCATCCATGAGGGAAAAGTCAAGAGACTCTATGAAAGCATCCCAAACCATTCTGAATTACTAACCCAAAGTTCCAGGTTTTTCGTAATGAAACAATATTTAAAATTAATCCTATTTAAGTCATTAGAATTGTATTTTCCTATACCTACAGCCCAAACTATTTCTAACTGAGAGAGGCAAACCTTCATTCCCCCAAAAAACATACTTTCTTTCCATCAATTCTGACATGAGCAGAGGAGTATTTATTATGGAGTGTGATGTTTGGGTATTCTTTTTCCCATACTGGTGAATGTGTGGTGGCAGAGAGGAAGGAAGATATTGTAGACAGGAGCAGCCATCCGAACAAGAAGGTAGAGAATGATACAAAACATAGTTGCACAAAGTGTAACAACTAGAATCATTAGACTGAATTACAGGAGAGCCTGAGACCAGGTTGGCCAGGAAAAAATAAGAGTGTTAGAAAAGGGATTTGTGCCTCAGGGTGAATTTCCTGTTTAGTGTGATACATAATTTACAGTCATTATTGCCTCATTCAGTGAATCAGTTATTTATTTGAAGAAAGTCCACTGTGTCCACAAGAATTTAAAAACAGAAACACCTTGTTCTTACTTTCAATGCCGTTACAGTTTAATAGAAGCAAATCATATCAGGATTCAGTGTAGAAAAAAAAAACAACATTGTAGGTATGTAAGGTGCAAAGAAATAAAATACAGGGAAGCACAAAACCTCTGGGAGGGAATAAGTGCCCAAATGAGGGACCCACCACTGGACAGTTGAACTCAGACTCCCATCAGGAAGCAGCAGAATAGAAGGCAGCAGTCTGTTGATACCACTGCTGTAGCTTCTTCACTTCCTGGGGAGGAAGCTTCTCGGTGATGGACTGCGAAAGTTGGCCATTGCCTTTCAACACTCATTTCTGTGTCCTGCATGTGGGCAGCAAAGCATCAAAAAAGAAAGAGAAGGAGAGAGAACGATAGCACTGAAGTAAAGGAAAAGGGGGAGATGCATCCAATGTCTTCTCACAGAAGTTGGTACAACCATAATTGATAGGATTTAGATGCTACTAAGGCATCCAAATGCAGTTTCTAGCTTTTCAATCTCTCTAATCAGATCAGAGAGAAAGTGCAAGGAGACTAAGGGAGGCAATATGCAATTTCTGCCACACTGATGGGCTTTTTTAAGACATCAATTAGTGCATTACAGTGTTATAGGTCCTTTGAGAGAAGTCGGGCTTCAAGCAGAGAGGTGCTTTAAAGTTGTAATGAAATTGGAACCATGCCTTGAAAGATGAATTTACACTAGTTAGGTAAATAGAATTGGGATTGCCATTTTAGATAGAGGGCTCAGTTGAAAACAAGGAAAAACATGAGTCTGTCTGGGAATTCAGTAAGTAGCTAAATCATGTCTGGAGCATGGGGTACAGAGTAGGGTAGGAACAGAGGGGTGCAAGTTTAGAGAGGTCTAGAAAGGAAGTGGAAGTCAGATCATGGGGCAGGGGAGTCTGACTATCAGTCAAGCAAGCATTCTGAAATGGGATTATTACAATTTGGTTCTGGAATTTCCCCCCCAAATATCTTGCATTAAAGTCTTGGCTCCCAGAGTAGCAATATTCAGGGGTGGGGCTCTTGGGAAGTGATTAGATCACAAGAGCTCTGACCTCATACATGGATTAATCCATGGATAGCTGAATGGACTATTGGGAAGCCATAGAAAGTGTAGGTAGGTGGGACATGGTGGGAGGAATTAAGTTGCTGCGGGGGGGGGGGGGGGGAGTAGGTGCCTTGGAAGTGTATTTCTTGTTCCTGGACCCTCCCCTGCTTTCTTCCTGGCTATCATGAGCTGAGCAACTTTCCTCCACCACACCCTTCCGACATGATGTTCTGCCTCACTCACTTCAGGCCCAAAGCTGACCATTGCCTGAAGTACCCGAAACCATGAGCCAAAATAAATCTTTCTTCCTTTAAATTGTTTTGCTCAGGTGTTGGTAACAGCAACAAAAAGCTGACTAACAGAGGGATCAGCAGACAGCAGTAATTATATGGGCAGAATACAAATTTAGGTGGCTTGATACAGTTATTTTGGGGTCTGAGGAAAGCAGAAAAGAAAAAGGGGCTAAGGTGACTCTATGCTCTTAAGCTTTAAATCGTGGCATTGTAGGTGAGAATATTGGGCAAGTCACACACACAAAAAAAATTATCAAACTGAGAATTAGAAGAGCATGAGTTCATTTTTGGCGTGGCAGGATTTAGCATTAAACAGCACAACCAAGTAGTAGAAAATTGTCAATACAGTTAAAATAAATATATAGATTTTCTGTCTTCCATGGAAGTAGCTAACAATA